ATTTCGCATCGAAAAAAAGTTTTCCCTAAAACTTTGCCCAATAAACTATCTTTAGTAACAAGTAAGTAATACCACATTAGTTTTTGGAAATACCTCAAAATAAAATTTTTAGAGCTCTCAAAAGTCAAAGCTGCAAAAGGCCCTTCTTTGACCTCTTGCGACATCGAAAATTTCAAAAGTTGAATAGCCCGGTCCTCGTATCACACCGCATACAACAAAAAATATTTTGTATTCTTAAAGTGTGTGATATATAAGGTGTATAAAATGCATTTCAATTTTGATATTCGTTTATTCAGAGGCTCGTCATAATTTATTTAAAAACACTCTTTGGACAGCTTTCTGAAATTGGTTAAAAGTACTCTTTCTTTCTCGATTGATATTGCTCAAGTCCAGACCAGACCATTAAAAACTCCGCTTGATTTCTGCTATTAAGATGTTTGGCTGCAGAAAAATATAAAAACATCTTGCACTTATTGATTTTCTTCGCCGAGGTGACTTCGAACTTTTAGCGATATTGCAAGCGTGACAGCCGATTATGCAAATTAGTTCATTGAGCAAACTCCGACCGTTTTATGTGAGTAGCTCAATAAATCTTAGATTTTAACCATTTTAAGTAGAAAATATAGTAGAAAATATAGTGGAAAGAGCTTTAAGACCACACCGATTAATACTTTAAACATTTTAAAAGGCCAAAATTTGACAAATTTTATTATCTCGTGACGAAAGACGTCAACAACAACGTATCGAATATCATAATTTGATTAGCGCTCGCAAACCCCTTTTTAAAAATTTGGCTTTTGTTATTTCATATTTGAGTTCTGATGGCTTACGTTATTCAAACCTGTATGAACATTTCAAAACCAAACAACAGGATTCTATTTAGTGTAACCGGCGATAACAGCACACACTGAAATACACCGTGACCACTGTCACATAATTCAATTGTACATGTGTAATTATACTCAATTGCTTCTCCCTTCTTAATAAAGTAGCGATAACATCGCCTTTTGGATCCGAATTCTGGTCGGCAGGAAGAAGAGAAATTTTGTCTGCACACCTGTCTTTATGAAAGTTTCTATTCAGAACTCTAGGGAGTTCTTGTGGAAAAGGACCCCGCGATTTTTGAGGAAATAAATTATTACGTTACGTGTGACCTCATTTTTCCAACAATTAGCTATATCTTTACTGTAAAGTGCGTAATTGTATTAGCTGTAATTCATATGTCTCTTTCGGTACTGGTTTGCTTGGGATTAATAACACTAAATTCTTGAAGCGGTATTCGCCAAAAGAAGTCCTGATTTCAGTCGCGTTCCTCAGAAATTTCGTTCGGAGACTCACGAGGAGTTCCGGTTTGTTTAACTTGCCTCAGAGTACTGACTCAATAAAGAGTCATCTCTGCTTAATCCATTTGTCAAAAGATAATTTCACGGAAGGAGAGCTTATCTTTTCAAGGGCTGGCCTGTTCGATGTAGAAGACTCAGTTATGGCAAAATGTGGGTCTGCGCGAAGCATAGGCACACTTATGGGAAGTTCTTGAGCCAAAGTTCAGCGTGTTAGTATCCGACACACCCTGGTAGCGATTCCAAAGGGCTAAAGAGCCGGTATTCTGTCAATTTACAAATGTCAAAGGCCATTTCTAAGATGTATGGCGTTCTATAGAGGTTTACACGATACTGCAGCTGAGGGAACGGATGGTTTCAAGGATTTTCTCCAAATTATAGACGAATTGGAAAGCGTGGGAGCAGAAAAAGACCAGTTTAAAGAAGTTCGGAAGAGGCTTCAGGAGAGCAAGTTGTATTTGAAGACTACATACCGTAATCACTGCGAAGAGGACGATAGAAAATGTGCCGATCAATGTAGGGTCTTTGCACTGAGCCATGCTGGTGACACTGAAGTTCAGAAAGTATGCAGTCACAGTCACAACGTGAAGTGAGAGGATTGTGAGATGCTGAAGAGTGTTCTTGAAGAAGTAGAAGGCGCTATTTCTGAGTACACAATGCAATTGGGTAGGTTTCAAGCGGAAGACTATCTGTATGAAGCAAAAAATGCTGCCGCTAAGATCTTTGAATGGAGAGGGTATATCCTGAGAGCAGAAACCAGGATCAGTACGAGCGGCAAATTGTCGATACTTTGGAGGGAGATGAAGCATTTATAATAGTTAACTGGACGATGAAGTTCCGGGAAAAGCAAGCAGAATGGTTTCCAAAGAGGGAAATAAATTGGCATGTGAGTAGCGTTGTTGTAAGATAGGAGGAAAGCCTGGAAGTAACCTGATAAGTAGACCTTCTTAACAGCTGTAAAAAAGACCGGTTTTCAGTGCTGTCAGTCCTAGAAAATCTCTTTGCCACCATAAAGTTACGAAATTCAGGAATAAGATCGGATGAAGCAGGTTGCTATCGCAACAGAAACTAGTATCATCTCTACGAGGGCTGGGACATCAAGATTGCCACTTTCAGCAACTTACACAAGAGGGCCTGCGCATTTGGAGAAAAATTAAAATTACAATTTTTCCACAGAAAAAATGACGGATCTGGTGAAGGAGATTCCATTTTTCCCCACTACTGCTCGACGAACTGCATCAGCAGGAGAAAGTAATGATGGCAACGACAGTAGTTCCTATCAATGCCCTGAACCTAGTGCGATGAAGATTTTAAGACGCAGGCCGACCTTGACTTCCATATGAACTAGCTAGTTCATCATGTAAGTCCTGTGCCTGCGAGCATGACTTAAAGTCTTTATGACAAAGTAAAGAGGTAGTGGGTTCATTACTTTCAGTCATTGTCATTAGAGGGTGAAAGTTCGACTGAACTGGTTGCAGTGGCCACAGAACCCTTGACAAGTACATCAAAGCTTCCCATGGGATGGGCTCTTCATAAGAGAGGTGCAAGTGAACGGCTTTCGAAAAACGTCAGGCAGTACTTGAAACAGAAATTTAATATGGGATGAGACACTGTCAGAAACTAAACCCAGAGAAAGTAGGAAAGGATATGCGAAATGCTTGCACAATAGATGGAGAGAGAATGTTCGATAGAACAGAGTGGTTATCCAACATACAGATTCAGGGTTTCTTCTCGAGATTGTGCCTTAAACAACGATCTAAAATACAACAAGAATCGGATGATGCCACCGACGCAGACGACCACTTGATAGAAGCATCCGCGTCTGATGTAGACGAAGGGTGTTTGAGAGAGGCAAGGAACACAGTAATGGATGAGAAAGATTGAAACATCCAATCATGTTTGATATCTATGATGTGTGCTCGTTGGCAAGAGAAGCAAGGTTGTCCAGTCTCAAAATCAAGATGCTAAGAGACATATGCGAACATTTTGAGCTCGCATTCAAAATGCAAGATACAAATGCAGCACCTCTTGCAAAAATGGAGGAAATGATTTCGGAGTGCAGTTGTTATGCAATCTAGTTATGACGTCCACCCGTTATGCGAATGGGATATCTTTTTTACAAGAACTCTTCAAACTTATGAACAGAGACTGTTATGCAGACAGATGTGACGACCAAATATAATTTTTTTCCCTTTCAGCTAGAAATCCGAGAAATCGCTGCTTTATTTAGACGCGTTAAGTATTCAGGACAATTACACGATGGAATTACGTGACAGAGTCACTGGTCACGGTGAATTTAGTGTGTGCTGTTATCGCCGGTTACACTAAATAGAATCCTGTAGTTTAATTTTGAAATGTTCATACAGGATTGAATAACGTAAGCCATCAGAACTCAAATATGAAATAACAGGAGCCAAATTTTTAAAAAAGAGTTTGCGAGCGCTAATCAAATTATGACATTCGATACGTTGTTGTTGACGTCTTTCGTCACGAGATAATAAAATTTGTCAAATTTTGGCCTTTTAAAATGCTTAAAGTATTAATCGGTGTGGTTTTAAAGCTCTGTCCTACTATATTTTCTACTTAAAATGGTTAAAATCTAAGATTTATTGAGCTACTCACGTAAAACGGTCGGAGTTTGCTCAATGAACTAATTTGCATAATCGGCTGTCACGCTTGCAATATCGCTAAAAGTTCGAAGTCACCTCGGCGAAGAAAATCAATAAGTGCAAGATGTTTTTATATTTTTCTGCAGCCAAACATCTTATTAGCAGAAATCAAGCGGAGTTTTTAATGGTCTGGTCTGGACTTGAGCAATATCAATCGAGAAAGAAAGAGTACTTTTAACCAATTTCAGAAAGCTGTCCAACGAGTGTTTTTAAATAAATTATGACGAGCCTCTGAATAAACGAATATCAAAATTGAAATGTATTTTATACACCTTATATATCACACACTTTAAAAATACAAAATATTTTTTGTTGTATGCGGTGTGATACGATGACCGGGCTATTCAACTTTTGAAATTTTCGATGTCGCAAGAGGTCAAAAAAGGGCCTTTTGCAGCTTTGACTTTTGAGAGCTCTAAAAATTTTATTTTGAGGTGTTTCCAGAAACTAATGTGGTTTTATTTACTTGTTACCAAAAATAGTTTATTGGGCAAAGTTTTAGGGAAAACTCTTTTTCGATGCGAAATGCCCTGGACCGCTCTTACAGAGATCGCCTCTTAATACATGTTATCAACACATGAGTGAGTTAATCCACCAAAGTTGAAGGCCTGCGAAATAATTACCACCACCCACCAACTGAAACGGCAGCATAAACAATAATCATTTCCGTTTCTGCATAGGAACAGATGGCTTGCTAGCTTTAGCTGCCGTTTGATAAAACAGAAGTTGATTTAAGAAAACTTTCATTTAGCGGAGCTGATAAAGAAATAATCATTCTTAACATCAATTATTTTTGAGCTGCTTCTTTATAAAATTGGAATTATAAAGAGTATTTTAATTCCGTGAAGTTTTCCGATTATATTAAGAAAAACAATGCTTCACATCTGGTGCAAGCTGCCTTTTATCTATTGTTGCCTCTTTGACGGGAAAAAAAATGGAGACAAACGTCGGGAACAAGCTATCAGAGATCATAATTTGCATTAAACTCTGTCTCGTGCAAAAGGGTTTTATAAGATGCCGTATATCCGCAACTCTCAAGCTGGGAGAATCAAATATTAGTGTAACGATACCTTTTAACAGCAACCTTTGCATATCTTGGCCATGATGAAGTGGATGATGAATGGAACTGAATCCGGAAAAATTTTCAAAACTCTATTAACATGTTGTGTGCTGGGTAAGTACGACGCTAGTTATTCCTGTTTGTTGTGCGGTAGCTATAAAATTGCGCGATGAGTACAACTGAATCCCACAAAGAGAGCAAAACCTTTTTTAAAAGTTGTGCGCTAGTATAGTAGCCACCTAATTATATCTTGATTTTCCTTTTGCAAAACATTTATATCGATTTTTGAACGTCCTGTGAAGTTTGGCCGAAAGAAAATGTCAGTTGGCGGATATTGGCACTGTTGATTAAAACAAAACAAACCAGATTCTAAAGGTGTCCGCATTAAACTCTGAGTTCGTAATCGGAGAAGGATCTCTTACAAATTGGATTCCTGAAGCCTTTTAGATTTCATATAGTGCAAAGCAATTTAAGATCAAAGCACAGGCGAGACATTCATGCTGTGGTCATGTTGTTTGCGTCATAGTTGTCTGCACAACAGCTTTAGCAGCCATATTTAGGATAACAGGAACACGATAACTTAGTTGCTATCGTTTTATACCACTATGACAAGATGTGAAAAGGGAAAAACGTGTCGACTTCAGATAGCTGCTGAACGTTGGACGTGCTTAGACAAGAGATCGAACTTAATCATCAGGGTCCACTTAAACTGGCGTTAGATGCAAAGTTTAACATTCGATCCGGTATTTGGAAAAAAATGGTTCAATTGGTGTACTTTTTCCTTTCTTATCGCAAATTAAAACACCATTAATATCCATGAATTTCGATAGCTGCTTTTCTGAATGAGCTGAGGGGTTAAAATGACGTGCACTCAGAGTCAAATAATTCAAACAACCCTTGAAATTGATTATTTTTACGAATTAAAATTCAGCAATTGAACTCCTTACAGCCACATGGAGATTCTTTTTTAATTTAAGTATAGTTCAAATAATAAATAAATTATTAGTCATGTTTAATGGATCACCCCGAAATGATACGATGGTGTTCCTCATTCCAGGGTCATGTTCAATGAATTCCAGCCTAAAGCTTTTCTGAGAGCTTTCGGATGAGGCACTATTCAGATGCCCAAACTGTTAGAGCTTTCAAATTGTTGTTCAGTCATTAACACTCGGAGTAGATGATTGCCGAATGCTCGCCAAGTTGGACGTCATGGACAATTAAAACATACTTCTCTTTTAAATTATTCTCCTTTGTACCCGAAAGCAAACTTTATACTTATCTCATTGCTCTTCTTTTATAAAAAAATCTATGGTGGAGGTTCCGCGGTCTGCTGATCCATAGTTTAGTAACTCCCAAGAATATGGAAAAATCCTCACTAAATTTTGGAGACCAACCCCTCAAGATTAAAATTGAGCAGAATTTTTATTTGAGCGGTCAGAATCGATACCTGATTAATAATAAAGCATCGTCCGTTTCGAATTGTTGCGAGCTAAAACGAGGCTTTTTTTTTTAATAGCGCACCTTTTCAATGTTATATAGTTTGGTTGCACTCCGAATAGCCCGTGTAAAAAAGTTTTTCGAAGGACATTCGCGAAGGTCTACCGTATACTTAAAAATGTTTTCTACATGTAAAAATTTTTGTTCAGCTGGTTGATAAATTGTGGAGATGCTGCATTTTTTAAAATTTATCCGTCTGCACCCTTGGGAAGGTAATAAAAGTCATGGGTAGATGCCAAAGGGTATGTAACAAATAATCTGCATTAGTACTAGTCTAACTCGAGATCTAATAAACTCTTTCATTGTTTCAAATGTTATTCTTGAGATAATAATCAATTCATTTGCTCGTTTTCTCTTCTGCAGTCATCTTTCATTTGTTGGTGGATTTGCCCGGAACAGGTGAGGCAGCTTAATTCCGATTTTAACATTTATGCACCTTAAAATGAACTGAAGATGAAAAAAGATAATATCTGATTGATTATCATAATAATTAGCCATAGACTTACAGACTTCCTGTTGGGATTACATCGGATTGTGACTCAAAACGTAAGTTGAAAAGCAAAACAAAAAAGTCGTAGAATAACGGTGCTATTACCCTGATCTCCCTTATTTCCAGTTTTAAAACCTTTCGCTTCAGTGATGTAGAGGGTTTTGATGCCCATTGTTTGTTATTAAAATTAATAGTGTCAAAAAAAAAATACTTTCTCGTCTCCATCATTATCATTATCACAATTGTTATCATCAGTATACATTTTTTCGTTTATTTATTCATTCCTTTATTTTTTCTCATAGAGTGCCAAGCAACCTGTTTCAAAAACTCCTCTTACGTATTTTCGAAAAGTGCAGCAAGATGGAATTTCAACTGGTATGTCTGCTGGTACCAGGGAGGTTACTTAGTCTCCATCGAAACTGAAGAAGAATGGAAGTTTATCAGTAATGAGATTAAAAAGCGTGGTACTGGGAATACTAGTGCATGGCATATTGGTTTAAGGAAGAGAGACGGGAATTGGACTTGGGAGAGTGGACAACATCTGAATATTTCGAAATGGCGTGATTCTGAGCCCGAGGGTAACGACAATTGCGCGGAAATATCCGAGAATGGAAGCCTCTTTAATGGTATCTCTTGGAATGATGAAAATGCCTGCATTTGCGAGATGCCCGTAGGTAAGATCACATTCCAACCATAAAGTATATTATGTGCTGAAATATTAGAGTCTTGCACTTGTGTCGTGAAAATTTCTCTTGATTCTTAAAAGTAAAAATATTGTTCACAGAATATGCTCAGCTCACCTAACTTGTACGTGTAAGCGATAAATGAACTTTCATGCGCCTAATAGTGTTTGAACATAATACCCATAAAAATTTCCGGGACACATGTTTCAAGAAGCAATTTGATCACTCTAGAACTGTCCTTTTTTGCATCGCCTGCAGCTGGAAAAAGAGCGACCGAAATTGTACATTTCTCAACTTTTGTCGAGCGTGCTACGGTTGAAATAATCTAGCCAACGGAATTTTTCCGTGACACAAATTAGAAGTGTTCACTGAGGTCGGTGAGTGTATGCATGCTGTTTTGAGCATAACATATCGAAGAATTTTTATTTTTTGTGTGTGCGTGCGTGGGTGTGTCTGTGTGTGTTTCTTTTACGAGTCAGTGATAAATATGTTATTCACAGCCGAGAGGTCCGTATTGGGTAATACTGTGCCCAGGGTCTTGAGAACCGGCACTTAGGACAGAGTGCACAGCTTTTCCCAATACGGACCGACCTAGGCTGGTGAATAACAGTTTTTTTTCTCTTAAACTCAACGAAATGTTTTTAAAAACAACCCTAATGATTTAGGGTTATAATTAAGGCAAGATCCTCCATGAACTGAACAAATTTTGAGCGAGTGAATGGTAGTTGAAACAGACTGAGGTAATGCAAATTGAAGAGAGGCTTGACCGAAATATTTTTAGTGTAGGGAACAAGATGATTTAAAAGGCTTCCATAGAATTTTTGAAACATTTTATTTTAACAAGTATCTGTCACAATCTGACACCTGTCAATTAGAGATTGCGTAAGACAAAAGCGCATCCACGCCTTAAAACGACATCAACAACAACAACAACAGCAACGGCGCTCAGCTCAGCGAGGAACTAATTTATTATTCAAAAACTCAACTACCAAAATTACATGAATTCATAGATAATCTTAGCTGATGTGAAGTTAACCAATTCAGAAAAGCAGGTCAGAGATTGCAGACGCCGGAGCGAAGAAAGATGTATTGTATTAATTTACACTAAAAAAACATAATGTTAGAAAAAAGGAATCAATTAAAGAATAAGTCACGTTTTTTATCTCATTCATTTTTCTCCTTTATTGTGATTGTGATCATAATCTTATTATGTTATCATCATTATTATAATTATCATTTTGTTTATCGTCATCGTGATAATTAGTATCTTTGTCTTCATCTTTATCATGTTGTAGAATGCCCAAATATAACTTTTAAAAACTCTCGGTACATAATTTCGGTGGATGGATGGTACTGGCACCTGAACAGAGATATCTGCCAGAGTCAAGGAGGGGACCTAGTTTCCATTGAAACCGAAGAAGAATGGAATTTCATCAATAACGAGATTCAAAGGCGGAATACTTCCAGCTGTAAAAATAAATGGAGTATTGGTTTAATGAAAGAGGACGGTAATTGGACCTGGGTGAATGGGAAACCGCTGACTGTTTCCAAATGGGGACAAGGGGAGCCAAGTGGTGAACACGACGTTGGTTTCATGTACAAGCGGTTCAGTAATGACAAACGGGGCTTGTTTGGTAGTGTTAATAGGGAAATTTGGACAAACCAGCACGCTTATATTTGTGAGATTTCCAATGGTGAGTTAACTTGTCGTTGTTGTTTTTTTTTTCTTAAATGTTCTTTTGAGTAAACTAAAAGGCTCTAGAAGCGCTTAAGCGTAACAAAAACATTCTTTCCTAACGTTTGTGATACTCACGACAGAATATATATATATACTCTGAAAGTCAGGATCAAGTTTACACTTACCTTTGCTTAAATGAAAATATGTTTTAAACAATCTCAATGAACGTTTTAACGATATAGATGTCTAACTTTTAACATTGTGAGCGGAGGAAAGTTACAGACGGTTCTGTTACTATCACTATTACGAGTAACAGCAGTTACGAAACTGATAGTGAATTCCAATTGCAAAGAATCATCAGTCCAATTGCTTTGCTAGTTGATAACGCGTGATAATGTGAAGTGCGATATCTTTTGTGTGCTAGTGACTCATGTCAGTTAAGATACATGCCGATTATCGTTTTATAAAACAAATACAGAAGACTTGCAGACTTATTTGTTCTTCGCAAAGGGGAATCACTTTTACGTTTATTGCATACTATTTTAATATCCAATCGTTTGAACTGTAAAGTTGTAGGGGCTAATTTCAATGCAGCGCAAAATGTGCGGTGAACATAATAAACTGACCATCCTGCATCTAATTCGAATATTGCGAGCACTTCGATCGACCTAGCAACCACTATTCTGCACCGAGGTTAGTAAGGGTTGCCTCAGTTCTCATAATTATGTTACCACGGGGCGTAGATACATTCTTTTGTTTTAAAAATAGTCAAAACTGAGTTGGAATTTAATTGATATTCTGCTCACCGAAAAGATAAACATAGACATGCGAAGCATGCAAGAACTATTATTTTGGTTAGGAGGGTTGAGATGGGACACTTGGTGTTCCTAACGCTTTCAGTTTTATAACGGAAAAAAGCATAACTTTTAAAATAGCGAAAATATCACATTACTTCACCTAAAAAGAAAGAAAACAAAACCTAAATTATCTGAACTTACACTATTTGTGGTCTATTGTCTCTATTGTCTAAAAACCCTCTAAGGAAAAATAAAATGCATCGGTGCCACGCTTACCGTTGTTGTTTGGTCTCGTCACACAAATAATGGTCGAGAAAGAGACAACGTTTACTGCTGTTCCTAAGACAGCAAGAAGATCAACATTATTCGTCTACAGTTAGTTACCTCAAAAAAGAATCCTCGTTTTACCACCAAAAGCGAAACGAAACTCTGTAGTATTTCCAATAGACCCTAGCCAAAGATAGATTGCGATCTCGAATAAGTGAAGATATATTGAATAAGAGATGAGGAAAGTATTTTAAAGACGGCTCTTTGGTTCGTTGTTGCCTATCTGGACTTTGCCACCTAAATTAAAATGCGATGGGATTAAGCCCAAAGTAGCTAAAAGCGACTTTTATTCTCACGAAAAGTCATAACGCGGGAGAATTATGTACATAATTCACTATCAGTAGCATTCAGTTTCATGTGAATTTTTTGGTATTGGATAATGCGGTTCGAATAAGTGATAAAATGCAAGTTGTTTACGAGGAAATAACTCGTGATGGAGAAAATTCTAATGAGGCATAATGGAATTTGATCGGTGGAATACAATTCAAACAACAGAATACGGAACAAGCTGTTAAAATATTGTCTTACAGCTTTTTCAGCTACTAGCAAAGACTCTTCAGAAGATATTTCATTCTCTACTCATTTGGCGTCTAGTTTCCAAAAAAATCCCAAAACTTTATCAGAACATCAATCACAGAAGACGTGTGCGAACGACTTAGAAAATACAAAGGAAACAATAAAAGTGTTCTGTTTAACCAACAAAACATCGAGTGCATTTGAGAGATTTCATCGTTCTGAGCGGCCATTTTGTTGGTATGCTCTCTGCCTGCATTTTTGCCATCACAGTGTAAAATTAAGGCAATTTTGTCTTATGATATGGTCTTAAGCTTTATTTTTCTTTAAAGATTCATCAATATCTACATCACCCTTACCATCGTCGTCACCATCGCCCTCACCATCACTGTCGCCATCGCTATTGCCCTTACCATCGCCTACGCCATTGCAGTCGCTGTCACCATCGCTGTCACCATCGCCCTCGCCCTCGCCCTCGCCCTCGCCCTCGCCAGCTCCATCACTATTGCCATCGCTGTCGCCGTCGCCATCGCCATCGACATTGCCATCGACATTGACATTGCCATCGCCATTGCCCTCAGCCTTGTCCTCGCTCTCGTCGCCATTGCATTCACCGTCGCCATCCACGTCGCCATCGACGTTGTCGTCTTCGCCGTCGCCGTCGCCGTCGCCGTCCTCTCTCTCGCCATTGCAAACAGCATCATTGTCATCGTTGTTAAGGGCACTGCCCTCGCCCTCGCCCTCGCCCTCGCCCTCGCCCTCGCCCTCGCTCTCGCCCTCGCCCTCGCCCTCGCCCTCGCCAGCTCCATCACTATTGCCATCGCTGTCGCCGTCGCCATCGCCATCGACATTGCCATCGACATTGACATTGCCATCGCCATTGCCCTCAGCCTTGTCCTCGCTCTCGTCATTGCCATTGCATTCACCGTCGCCATCCACGTCGCCATCGACGTTGTCGTCTTCGCCGTCGCCGTCGCCGTCCTCTCTCTCGCCATTGCAAACAGCATCATTGTCATCGTTGTTAAGGGCACTGCCCTCGCCCTCGCCCTCGCCCTCGCCCTCGCCCTCGCCCTCGCCCTCGCCAGCTCCATCACTATTGCCATCGCTGTCGCCGTCGCCATCGCCATCGACATTGCCATCGACATTGACATTGCCATCGCCATTGCCCTCAGCCTTGTCCTCGCTCTCGTCATTGCCATTGCATTCACCGTCGCCATCACCGTCGCCATCCACGTCGCCATCGACGTTGTCGTCTTCGCCGTCGCCGTCGCCGTCGCCGTCCTCTCTCTCGCCATTGCAAACAGCATCATTGTCATCGTTGTTAAGGGCACTGCCCTCGCCCTCGCCCTCGCCCTCGCCCTCGCCCTCGCCCTCGCCCTCGCCCTCGCCCTCGCCCTCGCCCTCGCCCTCGCCCTCGCCCTCGCCAGCTCCATCACCATTGCCATCGCTGTCGCCGTCGCCGTCGCCGTCGCCGTCGCCGTCGCCGTCGCCGTCGCCGTCGCCATCGACATTGCCATCGACATTGACATTGCCATCGCCATTACCCTCAGCCTTATACTCGCTCTCGTCATTGCCATTGCATTCACCGTCGCCATCCACGTCGCCATCGCCATTGTCGTCTTCGCCGTCGCCGTCCTCTCTCTCGCCATTGCAAACAGCATCATTGTCATCGTTGTTGAGGGCACTGCCCTCGCCCTCGCCCTCGCCCTCGCCCTCGCCCTCGCCCTCGCCCTCGCCCTCGCCCTGGCCCTCGCCCTCGCCCTCGCCCTCGCCCTCGCCCTCGCCCTCGCCCTCGCCCTCGCCCTCGCCCTCGCCCTCGCCCTCGCCCTCGCCCTCGCCCTCGCCCTCGCCCTCGCCAGCTCCATCACCATTGCCATCGCTGTCGCCATCGCCGTCGCCATCGACATTGCCATCGACATTGACATTGCCATCGCCATTGCCCTCAGCCTTGTCCTCGCTCTCGTCATTGCCATTGCATTCACCGTCGCCATCCACGTCGCCATCGCCGTTGTCGTCTTCGCCGTCGCCGTCGCCATCGACATCGACATCGACATTGACATTGCCATCGCCATTGCCCTCAGCTTTGTCCTCTCTCTCGTCATTGCCATTGCATTCACCGTCGCCATCCACGTCGTTATCACCATTGTCGTCTTCGCCGTCGCCGTTGCCGTCCTCTCTCTCGCCATTGCAAACAGCATCATTGTCATCGTTGTTAAGGGCACTGCTCTCGCCCTCGCCCTCGCCCTCGCCCTCGCCCTCGCCCTCGCCCTCGCCCTCGCCCTCGCCAGCTCCATCACCATTGCCATCGCCGTCGCCGTCGCCGTCGCCGTCGCCGTCGCCGTCGCCATTGCCATCGACATTGACATTGCCATCGCCATTGCCCTCAGCCTTGTCCTCGCTCTCGTCATTGCCATTGCATTCACCGTCGCCATCCACGTCGCCATCGCCGTTGTCGTCTTCGCCGTCGCCGTCGCCGTCGCCGTCGCCGTCGCCGTCGCCGTCGCCGTCGCCGTCGCCGTCGCCATCGCCGTCGCCGTCGCCGTCGCCATCGCCATCGCCGTCGCCATCGACATCGACATTGACATTGCCATCGCCATTGCCCTCAGCCTTGTCCTCGCTCTCGTCATTGCCATTGCATTCACCGTCGCCATCCACGTCGCCATCGCCATTGTCGTCTTTGCCGTCGCCGTCGCCGTCCTCTCTCTCGCCATTGCAAACAGCATCATTGTCATCGTTGTTAAGGGCACTGGTATGTGTTCCAAATATGTCTCTGCATGTTTCTTTTCAGGACCTGCACGGTTTATAAATTTGACGGACACTTTTTTTATTTATTTATTCCAGGCAAATGAGTATGTTTTAGAATTTGACGAAATGATCAATACCAGAAGGAGTACCATAGAGGTATACAATTTTCATAATAAAAATTCAGGCTCCTAAAAGAGTTTTCTAGCAATTGAAACCCTAAACATCAGTTGAGGCCTCAGGCTAGGCTCTATCTGCATTCTTAGTACGAATTGTCTATACGAGACAGGCTAATTAAGATCTGGAAATATTTTATGTAATTGTAGGAGGCTGTAACTATGTTTGAAGATTTCATCATAAAAATTAAGATCGTCACAAAAGACAAGGCTGGCATGGAAGAGGTTAAAACGCTAAGAATATCCATCTTTAAAGTGGCAAAAGCCTTCGAGAAATTTGCCCTTAATTATGGCAAGCAACACCTGAGCGGAATGAGACCTTTGGAGAGGTTCGTTTTCTCAAAAATAGGTGAGGTTACGGCCTACAATTCTGTTTAGTTTTAAAGTGTATTCCTCTGTTACTTACTGACTTGTTGACCAACGGACTGAGTTGTGTTAGTTCCTAGACGATGTAAGAACTCACTGTAAACCTAACCTTTTAGAAATGTTGTTGTATGTCATCGACTCATTTGTTTTTTTAAATTTCTTTGACGCTTTAGTTTTTTGCAGTGGAGAGGAAAATTAGAGGTATTCTTGAACAATCAAGAAGAGAAAAAAGGAATCCTTCAAAATTTTAAAACCCTTCTTCTCGCTCTGTTTTTGCAATTTATCCTTAATAATAAAGTATATTTGTGAGCAGAAATTACTACTGGAATAATCAAATCTTGCAAATATTTCCCTTTACTTCATACTATGCACTGAGCTCAAAATTGGCATATCGTGTGCGATGTATATAAATCCCTGCTTTTTAAGCGCACTCGTAAAAACTCCCTAATGAACGCTAATTTTCTCTGCTGAAACGGGGAACGACATTTCAGAAATGATTTTTCACAATTTTAGTCCGTGTAGAACTACTCGCATTTTTATTCAGTTTTCCTTTAAAAAAGCGTTTTTAAAATGGTTGTATTCGTTGGAGAGTCATGAAAGGGTAAATACAATACAAACAATACACGTCCATCCAATATGATTATAAACTATACCGCAAAACGTATGTTGTCTATAAGTATTGTTTTTCCGACAGTTTTGGTAATTCAAAAAGCCTATCACTTGAATGCGAGTGACTTCAGCTTTGAGGTACAACAATGGCATACGAGAATCAATATTGCCTCTTCAAACTTTGAGGAAAATGGTTCGTATTAAATAAGGTGTTACCTATACAGCTTTTAGTTGCCTTAATTTCTTTAGTGGAATTTTATATATCGAGATAAAACCTTAAGAATGAGCTTCATTAGTTTACATAGTCTATTTTCTTTCATCATCCGCCTTCCTTCTGATGTCACATCCTCAGAGCCTAAAGAAAATTTGAATATTGCGTGCTTTTTGCTGTTTGATTCCTTTTTTTGTTGTTTTTGGGGGGTTAAGGATCATTGGTAGTTGCGTTCGTGTACAAGGATCTGCATGACCTACTTCTGACAGATCAAGCTATCAGGAGTGAAACAGACAACAAAAGGTGATGCTATTTTCCTATTATTGTATGTCGCTTTCCATGGAAATACGTAACACGGAAACACATAAGATCTACGTTCAACTAACCTGAACTTAGACACTTTCCAAAACCTTAACTGGGGTTGGAAGTTTCCCTGCCTGTCTCAGACCATTCCACCTTCATGAAAAATTCGCTTCAATCTGTCAAAGGTACACGATGTTACTTCTTTGGTTCTGATTTATTTTTAAATAAATTTCCTTCATAGTTATATCAACTCCAAGATAATGGCCATAGCTATGGACCCCAAGCCAAACAAGTTGCGAGTAAATGTCATCCTAAAGTTCGAAAATCTGAAGGTAAAATTAAAATAAGTTGTTATGCATTGTTTTGATTTATTTTGACATGATAAAATCTATTTTCAGGTTTCGACAGCAGAGAAGCGCTGTATGTTTTGGAGTGACTTTAACACAAGGTAAAAAACTGCAATATATTATTGTATAGTATTTATTCATTGTTCAGGTTAACAATTTCCTGGTAGCTAAGATGTTGTCTTTTTTCGTAAAGTCCGACTAAAATGTTCTCCCAACTAAGACACTACAACTATAACGTAAAATTACCGAACATCACCTCTTCCCCAAACAGTGTTTAATTTTGTGCGCTTTGTTAACTTTACTTTTTTTATAGGTCAGAAGGCTTTTCAGAGGAAGGATGCCATGTAGTTTCATTAAAAAGCAACTCAGAAGAAACAGTTTGCAGCTGCAATCATTTGACGCATTTTGCCGTCTTAATGAACTACGACGGTAACACAAAGGTAATCAAAAGCCAAAATAATTTAACTAACATTTAACTAACTCAATGTTCTTATTTAAATTTTTTCTTTTTGACACAGCTCGCCGAAGAGGACGAAACAGCTCTGAAAATTATCACCCACGTCGGACTAAGCCTTTCCATCGTCGGGATCCTTTTAACATTAATACTTTATTCTTGCCTCACGTAAGTAATGTATCTGAATATCAGTGAGGTAGATTCTTGACTTCCCTCAACTATCCTAGAGAGAAAAGAGATCTCAATGCAAATCTCCATGCCAATAAAAACACGCATGTCGGGTAACTCAAAAATTCAAATTACATTCCATGCCCCATAAAGAACGCTTGAACAACTCATAGTTTCATTGTTTATGAATTGCTTAGGGTTTAGTCATTTCCCCTGTGATACTTTCTTTTTTTGTACTTTCTGGAGCTATTTACTGAGTTTTTTTCTTTCATTTGCTGTCAGAATTTTACTTGATTTCTTTGGCCATATTTTACTGTACATTATAATTAATTCAATTCTCTTCTTTCTTGTGCTTAGTGTCTTTAGTGTGTTGTTGTTATTGTTGTTGTTGCTTTTCTCTAATTCACTCTTTTTATTTTTACTATTATTACTATTTTTTTTTTACTATTTCATCAGAGATGTTGGTCAACCTCTCTCTCAAATTCGAATGAGTGTTTCTATGTCCCTTGGAGCTGGACAGATCATCTTCCTCGCCGGAATAAACGCCACAGAAAACAAAGTTAGTGGCCCCTTTTTCTATCCATGGAACGAATTTCCCCGTTGCACCGTAAATATCTTGTCGAAAGGAGCGTCATAAGTATACGAAAACTCTTTCTTTCCACAGGCTGCCTGTGTTACAATAGCAGCTCTGATGCAGTATTTCTTGATGGCCGCTTTCTGTTGGATTTTGATAGAGGGAATATTTCTCTACCTTTTCGTTGTGAAAGTTTACAACATCAACAGCAAGATGTACATGTATCACGTCATCTCATGGGGTAAGTCCATTATTTCACAACATACACTAGTGACTGTAACCATGCTTTCGGATCACCAAATATGATGTTGTCATCCAGCGAAGTTTTACGATTTCCTTCCTTTCTCTATGGGTAGGTCTTCCAGTGATCATGGTGGCCATGTCACTTGGCATCGCTGCTGGGAAAGAAGGGTTACAAAGCTACACGAGTGATAAATAGTAAGAAAAAAATTCAAGGGTTTCTTCTTACTCTTCTCCTTTTAATTTGTTGCATTTAATTGTTTGTTTTGTTTTTGCACATATTTTGAAATTGGCATCATTTCATTCGCTAAAAATTTGTGTTTCTTTCCTGTGTTTCACTTCTTCGAGTTTAGTTGCTGGCTTTCCTCGACTAACAACCTGATCTGGATATTCGTCGCCTTTGTAGCTTTCATTGAAATTGTGAGTTTATGATACGTGTTGGTGATTGTGATTGGTTTACCAGGACTACTTGCTGCTAAAGATTTTTTTCTCTGCTCTTTAAAAAACGATTTAAATATTTATGATATGACCCCACACAATGTTAACCATTTTTCTTTTCCTATTTACTCACAACAAACTTTGGACGTAGCTGCTGTTTGCGAGGATGCTTGTCGATTTTAACCTATTGATGGCCTTTAACAGCGAGAAAAACCTGTTGAGACAGTGTATTTACAAGCATAAGATAGCTTCATAAATTATCCAACTTTTAGTACATAGTAAAAAAAATTCCTTCCCCCCTGTTGATGGTTTCTCACTGTTTCACATTGATATATAAAGATTTTTTTCGCGCAAGAATAACTAAAAAAAATACATTGAACAGGAAGAGTAGAAGATAGTAAATTGATATAATTTAACGCTAGGATTCACTTGACATAGTTCATTCAGTTTAGACACTTTAGTTCGCTATTTCTTTAGCTCATTGTCAGATAATCGAAGCTCATAATCTAGGTCCCCCGGTTGAGAGTTCTATTTCCTGTCAATGACTCTTTTATCCCAAGCTTGTTACCAAACTAGTAACGTCTCTGTCAAGGATCCTCTCCTGCTTTGGCTACTCGATAACCATATCTAGATAATCAATTTATTTCTATTGTATTCTTCAGCTCAACATCTTGATACTCATACGAGTCTTAAGGGAGATGACCAATTTGTTGCAGCCAACAGGGGAAGACAACCATCTTCAGCAAATAAGGTAGGATTTACAACATAAAACTAAAACAATATAGCCTCCTGTGAGGCTATATTCCTCAAACTTCCTCTTTCATTAATCAGTCAGGCCTTACTATATCTAACAATGAAAATCCATTGTCAACGAAAGTTATGGAATATTTTTTCTTAATTCCTAGAATTGGCATCAAAGCAAGCGTGGTGATGATTCCCTTGCTGGGTGTCACGTGGCTATTCGGTCTCCTCTCGCCTGTACATAAAGCTTTCGCTTACATCTTCACCATACTTAACTCTGCTCAGGTCAGTGTTCGATGATATCTCTCAAAATCGTTCAATATCTATTATGTTACTTTCTAACCAAGTGAGACACCGTTACAATGGTCATATGATATTTTTTGGAATTTTGAAAACAAAAAGCTGTTAACTATGCAAGAGAAGACAGACTTCTTTTTCCATTATAAGATATGCAATTTTCCTTCCTTCTTGGAAATCTTAATAGATATCTGACTAATTTATTTGCATATTGTAAAAATTAATGATCTTGAAATCATATTTATGCTTCAGGGTTTCCTGATTTTCGCTCTACACTGTATGCGAAACACTCAGGTAAGAAAAAACATCAAACTGATTATTAACTTTTAGTATTTCGATAGATATCCGAGTACTAGTACTAAGAACCGTATTTCATATTGCTTGTCTATCTGCAGATCAAAGAGCGATTCAAAAGAAAAATGAATATCGTTTTTCCATCTTCTATAAAGAACAACTGTTCAAGGAAGAGCTCACGGGTCAATCCAAGTGAGGTTGGGGATATATGGGCAGTCGAATTGCAGTCTTTTGCTAAATTCGAATCGAAATCGCACTTAACTTAAATAAGTGGATATAGCCAACCGGAAAAGACAGTCAATTTCTTGGTACAAACACTTAGTTAACAGCGATTAGTCGGTTGCGATCGGTCTGAGTTACGATCTGCAGCTAAAAGAGGTCATTCTGTTCATCTTTGTTTAAGCACCCAACTAGTTGTAAACGTAACCTAACTTCTTCATGATTATAAGGTTATTCTCTCGGCAATCGGATAGATGCGGGCAAGATTCGACGACATAAACCAATCTATCAATTTAAATTTCTAATGGCTCAGTATGCTGACGACTGTCCTTCGAATAAGGTTACAGTCTGTTACAGACAAGGCGAGAATAATGGCTGTATTTATTTTTTGATTCTTGCATGATTATTTCATATTCGGCGTTTTACTTATTGAGTTAACAAATTTTTCATCAAACATTATTATTACTATTAACAATAAGCTATGGATAATAACTGAAAATATAAGTTTCTATAAATTTCGAGAATGGCTATGTATTCCAAGGAACTTTCTAGAGCATTTTACTAGGTTTCGTAGTTATGATGTAACACTACCAATATAGTTATGTTGTAAGCTTCCAGAATTTTCTGGAATACTTTGTACATAAGGACTGAGTCGTGTAGCAGTAGTACTTATTGTTGTCGGGAGTGACTGATTTTTCAGAACGCTGTACCGAAAGAGAGCTACTGTGGAAGATTGTTAATTTAGGTGAACTTTGGAGACAACTGTGAGATTGTGTCAATACTGAGCTAAGATATAGTTTGTAGTGGGCTTCTTTAAGTTTATTTAAGGATAATTACTCTACTTCATTTAAGAGTCGCTCATTGATAGGAATATTACAAGTTGTTTAATAAAGTAGTTAGGTTTGTTGATAAATAATGCTCTTTCTGTCGGTTAAATTGTACTGTAACAAATAATACTAATAGTATTAGTGGCTGACATTCAAATTTGTTGCTTAATGAATAAGTAGATGAATACGTAAATGTTTCAATAAATAAACAAACAACTAATTTAGAAAGAACAGAAAAAACCCCTATGGCTGGATCTTTTGTGGATCAGTTACATTTAACCATTTTTTTTTCACATTCCTAAAATAAGGAGTATCGTTGTGAATCAAAAATACAACGATTAATTTGGAATTAAATTGGGGCAATGTTAGGCGGAAATGGCATAAACCAAGAGATTATAAACTATTCGGCATACATTATTAAAGAACGATTAAAGAACTTTTATGCAGCGTAGACTATTTAAAGGAAAAAGCTCAGCGACAGAAATGTGGAATATTTCCATGGGCCTGGTTTTCAAATATCACTACAGCGGAGACGTAACACTGAAGAGGAATTTCGACAAGCAGGAGAAGGAGTCGATTATGTAGATGTGTGTGACAGTTTGCAACAGTCTAGGTTACGTCAAACCCATTTATAAACAAACATGAATGACGAAGCGTACGATTAAGACGGAAGAAGTAAAAATAAGAATTTTTCTGGACTATACAAGAAAATTTCTCTCGACACCGCTCAAATGCGATAGGTCAAAACGCTTCAAGCTTCGATTGACTAAATAGATCGCAGCTAACTCGGGAATATTCGAGAATAGACAATCAATTATTCCATGAGCGTGGAGAGATACTGGGAGAGTAGAATGTCTCGCCCACAGAGCACATCATTATGACCCAAGAACGTCTCGCACAAAGAGCTTTTGACCTCACCGCTCCTTCTAAAATGTTGTAATTCGAACATTTGGACACAAAAGTGATGGTTTGCATGATAATAATGCGTGTTAATTGACACATGAGCGAGTTAGTCCATCAAAGTTAAAGGCGTACGAATTAAATAGACCCACCAACTGAAACGTATGGCATGTCATAGGCGAGATGAATAAATAATAATCATTTCCATTATTTTATGCATACGAACAGATGGCGTAATAGCTTTAGCTACCAGTCGATAAAAAGAAGTTTATTCGAGACAACTTTCATTTAGCAGAGCTCAAACAGAAATAATCATTTTAAAGTCAATTATTTTTGAGCTGCTTCTTTACAAAACTTCAACTACAAAAAGTGTCTTAATGCCGTGAGGTTTTTCGATTGTATTAAGAAAACAATGCTCCGCATCTGGTGCAAGTTGCTTTTTGTCTATTGGTCCGTCTTTGACAGAAAAATAAAAATGGAGACTAACGCCATGAATATGCAATCACAGATCATGATTTGCATCAAATTCAAACTCGTACCAAAGCGTTTTATGAGGACGTCGCAAACTCAAAACTCTCAAGCGGGGTGAATCAAATTTAAGTGCAGCGATAGATCCTAAGAGCAACCTTTGCTTATCTTGGGCATGATGAAGTAGATGATAAATGGAGCTGAATTCGGCAAAATTTTCAAAACCCTTTTAATATGTTCTGTGCTGGGTAAGTACGACACTAGTTATTCCCCTTTGTTCTGCTGTAGCTACGAAACTGTCGAAACTGACTTTCCAATTTATGAAATATTTATTTCCATTTTAAACCTACGGAACTCTGATAACAAAAGATACCAAACTCTACACATGTCCTTTCTAAACTATTTGTTAATCATTAAAGCAAAAGTTTGGGATCTTTGTATTATCATTATTATCATTATTATTAGTTTCTCGATATTAATCGCCTTCCGCATAATGCCAAATGATTGAATTGTGTGATGAGTACAACTAAATCCGGCAAAGTGTGCGAAACCTTTTTTAATAAGTTGTGCGCTAGGTAAGTACCACCTTAATTATATCTTGACTTTCCATTTGTGAAATTCAGCCAAACGAAACAGAGAGGTGGCGGTTATTTGGCACTGTTAATTAAAACAAAACAAAACAAAACAGACTCTAAAGATGTCTGCATTAAACTCTTAATTCTTAATCAGAGTAGGATCTCTTATAAACTGGATTCCTAAAGCCTATCAGATTCCATATAGTGCAAAGTAATCAAAGATCAAATAGCACAGGCGAGACATCCATGCGGTGGTCATGTTATTTGCGTCATGGTTGTCTGCACAACAGCTTTGGCAGCCATATTTAGGATGACAGGAACACAATAGCTTAGTTGCTATCGTTTTATGCCACCACTACGACAAGATGTCAAAAGGGGGATACGTCTCCTCTTCAGATAGGTGCTGAACGTTCGACGTGCTTAGACGAAAGATCGGATTAATTATCAGGGTCCACTTAAAATGGCCCGTTTAAAAATTCTGTCCGAAGGACGTTCGCGAGGGTCCACTGTATCCTTAAAAATGTTTCCCTCGTGTAACAAGTTTTGTTCAGCTGGTTGGTAAATTGCACAGATGCTGTACTTTATTTAAATTTCTCCGTCTGCTCCCTGAGGAAGGAAATAAAAATCATGGGTAGATGTTACAGGGCATATAGCAATTAAGAGAGTGTCTCTGTAAGAGCGGTCCGGTCGATTTTGCTTGAGACACAGATTTCGCTCGTTTCTCGTGTGTTGTAAGACATTCATGTACCTATACTAAAACCACAATCAGTTTGATCGGATCTCTTTATTTTTCCGAGTTTTACGGAAATTAAATTTCACTCGAGCGAAGGCTTGTTGTGACACTTTTCAAGACTTTAATTTCATACAACTTTAGAGGACAATTTACAAAAAACTACGGAACTCAGCAAAAAACAAATACCACAGCCATGTATATTAACTCTATCTTATCTATCGAGGCGACTTTCGTAAACATCACGTGTCAATCAAGGAAACAGGAAGACTTGAATGACACCTTATCGGTTCGCCTAAATCAAACACGCCAAAACCGATCAAATTCAAGGTAAATTTTTGAAAAAGTGAGGCGTTCTTAACTGATCCAACTAACATAGCTAGGAAGTAGGTGCCATAGAAAAGATAACTACAGAAAAAAACTTTGCGGCCCGACCTTTACGTGAACTTTATAACTCCGTGAACTTACCTAATTTTCGGCAATCTCCAAGTTTGGCCGCCATTTTGAGGGACTTGTCAACATGAAGCATAACCGATATAAATCAAGCAGGTTAATCTAAAACCGTCAGAAATATATAAGAAAGCAATTCAAATGAACTTTTCTTTCAATTCAAGCGGCAAAATTTGAAATTGTTCGTTAAACTTACCATCCCCATGCGACCATTTATTCCAACAATACAAACACTACAACTTTCTGAATTCCCCTCGTCGATTCCACCGCAAGAAATAACCTGTGCCACCCAAGCTTCGACTCGAATGTGAAGTACGAATCAAATAACATAACTGATTCATCTTCGCGGCAATATCACGCTGGTATTTTGATTTTCCGATCGACAAGAACGGCGATCAAGAATCGATCGGTTTGTTTACCTCGTAAACGCGACCGCTGACCAGCTGCTGAGTGAAAACAGTACGGTTCAGTGGCGAGGAGCGGGGTGAGGGGTGGATGCGGGCAGATTATCAGAAGGTTTTTGGGAACATTGGATAAACATTAGGATTCTCAGTGTTAATGCGAAGGGATACTTCGTGTTGCAGACAACTTTTGTTTTACTTAGCATTATTTTTTATTTCAAATACACTTCGTTCCAAATAGGACTAGCGACAGTTCATAGATTTAAAAACAAATCTTTACCACGTAAATAAATGTGTTTAGATAATCGAGATAACCATTGAACCTCTTTTATCGCACCAGAAATAACGTGTCTTGTCTATGCCCGACTCTGTGAGCGTGGAGCGGCGAAGACGCGAGATACGAGTCTCGCGTCTCGCGGTTTCACCATGCTCACAGGATACGCGTGACCTCACTATCTTTAAGAAAAATAAGAGACTACTCGAAGTCTGTATTCCGTTCAACCATTTTATAAGAGTGACGCAAGTCTTTCAATTGAATGAAAAAGTCACAAACCCATTCTTTACCTCACGAGCGTAACCACTGACCACTCACGAATTACAGTAGGCTTCTCCTTTGATGCGGAAATCGAAATCGTATCCAATATACAAAGTTATAATGAGTTCCTTTAGATCTCCCGAACGTGTATCGCGTTGGAAACAATTACAAGTACAGGAAGAAGTCGTTCACAAGCGAGACGTTCATTATTTCTCAGGACTGCTTTTTGAATAGCAAAGATGGAAAAAACTTCGGTTCATCGTGTGGCTTAAGTGGTTTGGTACGACTGTCTGAATGCAATGACGAAGCAAAACATCATTTGATAAGCTGCCACCTGTCTAAAGAGGTTTTTAAGTGAAAATGAGCTAATCTTGGCAAGGATTGGCCTATTTCACCTCGCTCAGGAGGATAAACAAAAAAATGTGGATTTGCTATAGGCATCGCTACACTCTGGGGAAGTTTTGGAGAAGTGCAAAGG